AAGTGATCTGTATAAATGTTAATGATAATACAATCACATATGGCAATGCCCTGGATATACAAACAGGAAACCATCTGTCACACAGATTTCATAAGTGTGCCAATTCCCACAAGTGGGATTTCCAGACCAAGGAGCTTGTGTTTATCTGCTTAGCATCCAAAAATTGTCACTAGCAAGCTGTTAAACCGGAGGGGTTTGGCCCTTTCTAATCTTCAATCCTCACAAATTGGATTCACACTTTGTACGCAATTCAGAGGTGTTGAGTAGGTTGTCTGGAAGGCAGGTCACACATTAGAGGTGACACCTGTCTCCCTCAATTCACGTTGTCCTCAAAAGTGATTACAGCCACCACACACTGACTCAAGAGGTCAAAGACCTGAGTGCAGAGACTGAAGGTTTTTGTTTTTTTTCCGTGTAGTTTATTTATCTATTTACTTATTTACACATTCATTTATGATGTGATTTTTTTCTTTCTTTTTTCTTTTGTCTTCTTTTGTTTAGGGAGCACTATAGGCACCATTGCACTCCTAATGAAGCACAATATGCTGTAATAAAATTAGTTACAAGCTTCTTTATCTTTGTGATTTAAATTACTCATAATTCATGTAATTTTAAAATTTGAAATATGTTAAATATGTATGAAAGATACACGCATTAAAACATGTAATGAAAATGAATGCAATATAAATTTAAACTGAAACAACATCAACTGTGCATCCTTGTGTTTCATATTGTGTTAGATAGATAGATAGATAGATAGATAGATAGATAGATAGATAGATAGACAGACAGACAGACAGATAGGCAGATAGATAGATAGACAGATAGATAGATAGACAGATAGATAGATAGATAGATAGATAGATAGATAGATAGATAGATAGATAGATAGATAGATAGATAGATAGATAGTTTACACATCCAGGCATTAAAATTTGTTTTAGCATGTGTGAAAGGTTAGAGTGGTGATATGTGGGGCATCTGGTAAGTCAAGGATGTGAGAGCTGAGCTCTAAATGAGATTGATATAGAAGCTTGGAGACACTCATAAGCCTGACGCAGGTGAGAAGTCTGAAAAAGCTTAGATAAATGCTTCGTGCCTAAAGTCACACGTACAGGTAATTGGAATTAGCTTTCTGCTTTGCACTAGACAACTACTTACCACACTTCTATGGAGGCTAAGTATGTTGAAAGTGTTCAGTTCCTGTTTGATACATGTGTCAAACAGGAACTGTAGCTTATCTGTTACTGGGTCAGGAGGACACATTATATGACTGATCTAGAGCATATTGTACCACATTAAATGTCAACAAATGAAAGTAAGAGCCTACTAACTTCATCCATTTTACTTGTTTTTACTCCAAGCAACTCCAATGCTAGAATATGATTTCTTTGAATAAAAAAAAGCTTAATATTCTCATCACATGTAGTTTTTATCTGAATTTCTTATGGTGAAAGCAATAAGTTATGTTATGACGAAAGGCATGAAGAGGAAGGAAGGGTTTGTTCTTGTGCTGTTGCATTTAAGAATTCAGGGAACTTACCACGGAATACAGAAATCCTCTTTTACTGCTTATACAATTAAATTACATGTAGTATGTTATTGCATTTCTAATATATGTTACAAAGGCATATTTACTCAATAGTCAACAGGAAACCATATTGAGGGTCAATTAATCATTTCTTAAGCAAACATGCAAATCATTCAAGCTTCTTCAGTGTGAGCATTGCTGTTCTTCTTTGTCATAAAATAAATAAATAAATAAATAAATCCTCAGGTTGTCCCAAATACCCGCTATAGAAGGGTGAAAATCAAAGACCAATAAAGATCAATAATGAATAATACATGGATTGGTCGCTTGCTAATTTGGTTTGACTGACAGGGCAAAGTTAAAGATGCTTCACATGGCAGTAAGTCAGTCACCATTAGGTAAGAGGGGTAAGATCACAGCTTTTTTCCTTTGAAAAACAAAGTTTAAAAAATGATGAAGTTCCTGTTAAGTGTCCAGTCAGGTCATGGTGTTTCAGTGGGATAAACGTTAAATAAGTGAACACTTTCTCTGAGGTCCTGCTGTCGTCACCTCCCTGAGTTGCCAGAGAGGATCTGTGCTCTGTCTAATCTCTGCTGCCACAGTCGCCCAGACACTCAAAAGGATTAAGATCCTATGCTCAACTTTCCCACCTACTCTGTGCGTAGATGTTACAAAACACCAATATACTGCATTCAAGAAATTAAAATCATTCTTAAAAGTCCTTCAAAACCATTACAAAACATCTCCCCCCACAAATGTCTAACAATTATATGTACATACATATATGTACATATATATATATAGTTATTATTATTATTATTATTTTTTTAGGTCATGTCATGTCAATAATCATGTGGTTCATTGTACCACTGTATCCAGATCATGTAGATAAAATATATGAATACTAACACTGCATTTGCTAGTGAGGCACCTTCTAGTGGTTTGTTTCATCATCCTGCTCGCCACAGTTTAAACTCAGAAAATACTGTAAATACTAGTGGCGGCTGTTAAATGCTGTTGTATATTGGGGTAACCTCATTTCTGGCTAAGATAGGATTAGTATTACTATGTTTATTTATGATGGTTCTATTATTGGTTTTACTACCTATTCATTTGCAGTTTGAAGGCCTCCCCTTGTCTGGTATTTTTGATGCGTTAAAAAGTGCATTGAATGATCAATGAAAGATGCTCCTTACACAGCTGTATGTTTATTTCTATGTGATACTGGATTTATTAATCATTTGACATAATTACTGAGGTTTACTTCATGTGTCTCACCATTTTTTTTCTTTTATTTTTGGGGTGATTCATTTCTTCACGTATTTATCATACACATTATTATATACATTTACCAAAAATTATTCTTCTTAAGTAGTACCCTACGCCTTGGCAGAAAGGTGTGGTTTCAGAACACTTGAGTTTATCATTATTTTTTTAATTGGTTAAATGTTTTAACACAGTAAAGTTGTTAAAGTGATTAGACACAAGATAACAAAGCACCACTTTGCCTGGTCCTTCCTGTATCTGTGTAATGTGACAGTCCAGCCAGAAGATGTCGTACTCTCAGTTTCAACCAACAGAACTGAAGCAGCAGCAGAGGGCAGAGTTGAGAGTCCCCATTGCAAGAAAAGCACTGTGTCAAGACCTGAAGTGCCCCCCAGTGGCCAAAACTCAGAATAGGTGATGACAGGTATCAAGGGAGTTCAGATATGACCTTTACCTTCCCCTTTGTGTTACTTAGTACAGTACAGTAATGCTGCCACTGAGCAGGAAAATGGGACTTGTGGGAAATGCTCATACACTCAAAGTAGTAGGATATAAATTATTTAAAAATATATTTTGGTGCAAAAAATACAAATATACATATGTAATACAAATTACATTTAAAGATGTTTTGAAATATAGAGTGCATGGAGGAAAAGACAGTAAGTACATTTCTAAAAGATATAGCAAGCTAAATACTAGTTGTTCTTGTTTGTCTGTTTGCTTGTTTTTTAAACATGGCTACTCTTCAATATAACATTGTGGTTTTGGGATAGAAAATTTGTAGAAAAAATCAGCTTGCCTCGATCAGCTTTTAAGTGCATCTAAAAGTAATTTCATCACGAATAAAGGAGTCAAGTTGTGTGGCACCTTCACTCCACAAAAATAAAGATAAAGTTTATTTATAACACTTAACCAAATCAACAATCACCACAGTGTTTAACAAAAACCAAACATAAACCAATAAAGAAAATCTACTGAAAATCAGTCAAATAGTGAGAACAAAAATTAGTTAACATGTGTTTCCAAGTCCAAATAAGATTATCAGTTAGCCATTTGAAAAAAAAAAAAAAGAAAATTAAAAGAAGATATTGATTTTCCAAGCCTGAGTTATTCAGGCAGGTCATTGTTGAGGAGTCCTCACAGCAAAAACTGTCAGTCCCTCTGTAGTTTCAACTTCAGCATGGGAACAGCAATCAGGTTTTTAGGAGTAGCAAAGATTCTGCCCCCATAATCTGTACTTACACTGTAATTAAAGTATAACACAGCTGAACACTGTGGCTTTATATTACTCTGTAATGTGTTGGATTACAGTCTGCATAGCTTTGGTTTCAGGTGTTCAAAACACACAGGTGTGGTCTGTTAATACTTGTGACACCCACTGCATTGCAGGTGCATTGTAAAGTGTTTTGCTTACCTAACAACTCAACCATCTTTATCTGTCTACCATTGTTTATTTTATATACCTGTTTTTCCAATTTATTTTCAAGGACGTCACTATTTTGCAAACAGATATATAGTCATTTTTATATTAATTAAAATAATTACAGACCATAGATATGAATGTGAGAGTGAATGGTTGTTTGTCTCTGTGTGCTCTGCGATGGACTGGCGACCTGTCCAGGGTGTACCCCGCCTCTCGCCCGAAAGGATGCTGGGATAGGCTCCAGCCCCCCCGCGACCCTACTAGAGGATAAGCGGTAGAAAATGAATGAATGAATGAAAATAATTACAATAGTATATTACATAGTGGGTACATTACAACAGTAATGAACCCAATAATTGTGTACTAAACTAGTGTATCATAATTTAAAAAGAATGGTACCAAAACTTCTTTAGAATATTATTATTGTTAACCAGGGTTTAACATCTCGTTTGTTGTCTACTAAAAAAAAAATTATAATATTTTAACATTAATATAAATCTCACCAGTAATACATTGTTTACAGCCAACCAGCATACACAACAGATACTGTATATAACACAGTTTATAATCAAAAGAAAGACACATCTTTCCTTCCTAAAGCATAAAGAAATCTATTTTGTTAATGAATTCCATAGAAAAAACCCCCTTCTCCCAGACGTCTTGTATTATTACCCAGTAACAATAAAATGCACCCTGCAGTTGTTCAATAAGCACACTGGATCACACAAGAGATACAAGTCTTTCTTCTCTTTGCAGTTCTTTTTTTTTTCCTCTTGCAGGTCAAATAATTGATGTTCTCTGAGCTCTGTCATCTCTGTCATCAGGGTTTTCTGTTATGCGTAGTGTGTACAAGCCAGTGAAAGTCTGGAAAGCTTCAGGATTTGATGTTTTCTTTAATGTGGCTGTAGGTAAGTCCATTGCTGGAGTGCACAGAATTTTCAGTCTCTGTGTGAAGGAGAAGAAAGATAAACTGCAGTAAATGTCATTACAGTATGTTAATTGTGATGAATAAAATAACAAATCTGCTGAACCATAATGTCTCGTAATAAAGAGTAACGGTCGGGAAGGGCACGGTTCAAGGCTCAAAATCAATGACAAGTACAATGCAGTGGTACAGCTCAGTCGCGCATGCTTCCATTGTCGTCACTGCTAACTTGCATTGTTGCAGACAGGAACCTGTTTTCTCTCATTTTCATGGAGTCACCGGCTGCTTCATTTCACCGGCCATTGACTGTCCTCACAAGAACAAACGATCAGCTTTTCGGTAAATGCCCCAAAACAAAAATCTTCATTATAAGTGACAAAGCCCTCCAGAAGTTGTAGGAATTATTATATCCTCTGTTGCTCTTGTCCGTCAGGAGAAAAGGAGGAAATAGCATGACATTGTTGCAGAGGCACAAAGTGTGCAGAGTTATGGATGATGGAGGACGGGGGTGGCTAGATGGGTCAACAAAACCTCAGACTTTAACGTGGGTAAACGTGTTTTGTGGCCTGTTTCCTACCGACAGTCAACACTGGTTTGACTACAATTGTCCCTTAACCTTTATTTCAACCCAAAGTATTATATTTCCCTAATCCTAACCAAGTTGTTTTTATTCCTAAACACAGAGTCAAATCTTGACAAGGAAATAGCGGCCAACACCACAGACCTTTTCCCCACCATAAACTTTATATTTTACTGATCTAAATACATCCATTTACTTAGCGATACACAGCCAACTGGCAACCCAAAAGTTAAATAGTGATAGAATCTGAACTATCATAATGCTATACTCAGCAAATGTTTGTTGTCTTTCTTGGAAGTTTGTACAAGCTAAAAAGAAAAAAATTGTTGTTGTAATTATGTAATTGTTACTGGTGCTAACACTGATCTTTTTAAGTAGATCAGGTGTCAGCCAGACGTGACCAATATAGCATAGAGATATAGAATACAGTTTCTTTGTCAACGTCAGTATAAATTGACATTACTTCACTGAATTACCCTATTACAGAAACTAATTGATACCATTATAGTTTTTAGTTTAAAACCATTGTAACTGTGTTGAGTGACCTAATTTTGCTTGTTACATTAACAACATGTGAGATTACCTGTCTCAGTGTTCCTGGAGTGACACTCACAGCGTACAGCATCCACAGGGGCACCATGAGTGTTGATGAGAGAGTAAAAAATCCTCCGATGGCGTAGCCCCACCAGGGGTATTCATAAGTGTTGTTGAATTTGAGTGGAGTATATTTGACCACAGAGAAGAGTAATGTGAACTAAAAATAAAAGCAGAGAGAAAAGGAATGAAACAAGGAATGAAAACAGGCTCAAAATGATCAGATTATTAATTTGCATTTCACACAGAAAAGCAAATTAACAATTTGCTATTGTGTATTTTATTCAAAGTAAAACACAATGGAAAATGAGACTAAAGTCAAACTTGCATCAGTTGTCAGCTGACTAATAAGAAACAGTTTGCACTATTGCTGATAGCCTCAGTGTTTGCCACTTCAGCTCCGTCAACCACTAAATCTGTGGTGGTGACAGCTACAGATCCCGATTAAATATCACAAATGTGAGTTCTTTAGATCATCTCATAATCTTATATTTCTTAAAGAGAAACAAGCCAGTGTTTAGATACATTCTTACTAAGATCCCTTAAACATCTAATTCAAAATGACACTGAACAGGCTTGAGTTGTATTGTACCCCATCGATGGTACTGGTTTCCATCTGGTTGAGACAACTTCAGGACAGAAGCCTCTGGCAGCTGTCAGATACACTTGCTTGTTAGTAAAGCATGAGCAAAGTTACTGGATGGTTGGTTACATTTCCATTACTTACAGTGCAGATAGCTGGTGTGAAGTACAGCCAACAATATTTCATAAAAGGCCACGGTCGATATCCAATCATGTCCTTTATATTATCATATTGACGATCTGCACCTTCAGAAAACAGGTAGTGTTAGTTATACTTGAGACGTATGTATCTTTTTTTTTTTTTTCAAATTTTGAAAAATACTACAATCTAACACAATGCGACATAAACAGTATAATATACATTCCCAAACTTTCTGCCTTGTGATGCCTTAAAACAAATCTGTAACACTCACAGGTCACATGTCTATGATGAAGTTATCTAAACCAGTGATTTTTCCCTGTTTCATTTGAATCATCATTATAGCTACAGTTATTATCATAGTAATTCACAAGAACAGAAGATGGTAGTAAAGTGAAAATATAAATTTTTTCCATGGCATAAATTGTAAAAAGATTTTTTTTCTGCCATCCTGCTCCCTCAGTTGGGGAGCCACTGATTTAAAAACCACTAGGCTGTACAACATCAGGCATCAAACTGTGGCTCTGGTAGGTGTTATCAAGTTAGACCTGCCCCTTACCATAGACCCATCCAATACAGAGAGACTGAAGAACAGCAAAAAGTAGAAGTGTCATCCCACTGCAAGCATAGTGGTCAAACAACTGGAAAATATAAAGGCCTCCCTGCAAATGAGGAGAAACAGAATCCGACAATGAACGTCAATGCAAGGTTGTCACTGGATCATCCACACATTGTATCTGTCTAATGTGTTATTTTGAAAGTAAGGACTATAAACTGGTACGACAAAAATAGATTGCTTGCTTGCTTGCTTGTAATCATGACCCTTTAAAAGAGAGAAAATGTTCTTTCTTTTGTTCAAAGATACAAATGATTATACCATTAAATGCTTTCCTCTACTTCACCTGTTCCTCTCTTTCAAGGCTTTGTGTGTTTGTGTGTTTGAATACATTTAAAGCACATTTATCTGAATTGATTACACAGATATATCTATTACAAATAAAGACTTAACAGATTAAAGAAATTAAAGAAATTGTTATCGCAAAGCACTCACCTCTGTAACCATCACAAGGCCAAGAAGGAAACTTGCAGCACTAATGGCAAGAAGGAGGAGTTTACGGCGACAGTTGCTTTGAAAGAATGAGGGATACATGTCGGAGATGGTTGTGACCAACGACTCTTGATAAACAAACTGTGGTAACAAAATAGACAAGAAAGAATTGTGTTACAGTGTCTGAATCTAACCATTACATTCCAAACAGAGCTAACACAGTACATGGCCCAACCTCGCTGTCTAATCCTAGGAAGATGATCATAACGAAGAAGGAAACAGCCCAGAGCTGAGGAAGTGGCATTAGAGCCACAGCTCGAGGATAAGCAATAAATGCCAAACCTGGACCTGTAAAGGTACATGGAGAAAATGGTCATATTCTTAAAACAATTCAGACAGCATTACTCTGGGTTTCTGTTAATCAATATTAAAATCCCATACCTGTTTCAGCCACCATCGATATATCCACACCTTGCTCCTTTGCCATGAAACCAAGCACAGAAAAGATGGCGAAGCCAGCTACGAAGCTGGTGAAACTGTTCAACAGGCACAGGTAAATACAGTCTCTGTGGGTGGGAATTTGAGAGATGATTAACCCTCTGCTCGAATCCAAACTACAGTACGTATTAAGAATTTTGAATTAAATTCAGTGAAAATATAATAATGCAAACCTGTAACAGTTGTTGCTGTACTTGTTGTAACTTCCTAAAGATGTCAGAACACCGGTACAAACTCCATAGGAGTAGAAAATCTGGCTGCCAGCATCCATCCATACCTAAAAGATTTGGATGAGTTCAGTTTAGGCTTGTAAAGATCCAGGAAGTCACAGTACGTGGTTAAGGTTAGAGAAACGTTGTGGTCTTGTTTAAAGACTGAAGAGCAGGAGAAAGAATGTCTTTATGTTAGTACTATTTATCAAAAACATAAGATTTTACTTTTCATTATCCTTAACTAAAGGGTTTTTGTTGCTTCAACCACCACATGTGGGGAACTGGTCTGGAGTCTCTGTATCTGTATTACACAACGTCCCATACCCAAACCAGCTGTGACTCTCATGCCTTACAAGAACATAGTGAGTGAACATAATTCAGGCAGCAAATACATTTCCTCCAAAGCATGTATGGAAAAACAAAATATTAGTACATGAATGTCATTTGTAGGAAATAAGGTGGAATGATGACGGTGATGATGATTAAAGCAACAGCTGAATTTGTGATAGCAGTACCTCTGGATCGGTGAGGCGGGATGGGTCTGGGTAGAGGTAGAACATGATGCCTTCCTTGGCCCCCGGTAATGTAAGACCACGAACAAGCAGCACCACCAGCATTACATACGGAAATGTGGCAGTGAAGTATACCACCTAAGACACAACCAATCATCAATATTTGTGGCACTTTTTTAAGATGAAATACTGATACAGATTACATGAAATCTGATACTAAACATTAGCACTATGATTGTGCTGTACCTTTCCTGTGGACTTCACTCCGTTCCAGACACAAAAGTAACACAACACCCAGGCAAGAAGTAAACAAAGAGCCAAGTCCCAACGAATATTTCCAATTTCCTCAATACCACTGGACAAGCCCAAGATTCTCCGCCTGTAACAAAGTTTTAATAAGAAACATACTATAAAAAAAGGGGGGAAAAAACACCAGCCCTTTTATAATGATTAATTAATCAATAATTCATTCATGCTACTTACTCCCAAAATTCTACAACTGAAGATGTACTATTTCCATACAGGAGCAGAGGGGTTGTTTGGTTGTGACCGTGCTCAAAACAGCCATCTTGCATTGAAGAACAAGAGAGGCTGTGACAACTGATCAACAAAATAAACACAGTGCACAGGTGTATACGTCATACATGGCAAATGAAGTCTTGGTACTCTGTACCTGTGTTCCAGCTGTTGTGGCAGCTCGCCCATGGGAGCTCAGGCTTGAAGGACGAAAATAGGTAGAGAAATGTCCAAGCCAATATGATGATGTAATACACTCCAGTGTACAAAACAACCACTTGGCTTCCATAACCTAAACCTGTTGAGAGATGGTGATGTCACTGTAAAGATAAAAAAAGGTACATCTGATAATGACATAAGACCAAGAATCTAACAGACGGACCTATCAATGCTGACTTTCAATTACACTAATTCAAGATTTAATGATCATGTACGAAACAAAATGAATTGATCAAACAATTCTGTGTAACTTTTTCTGAAAAAGGGGCAACTAGGAAAACAAGCAATAATTACAGAATAATGGCACTTTAAAAGCTACAACTACTTCTGTGAAGATTTACCTTCAAAAAGAGGGCAGATTTTTCTCCAACATGTTATTCCACCCTGACTGGTGTATTGGCCCAAAGATGTCTCCAGGAAGAAGAGTGGGATGCCACAGGTGAACAAGAACAAAACATAGGGAATGAAGAAAGCTCCTGTAAAATAAAAATGAAATATGTTGTTATAACAGAGCATACATTTGTGCAAACAATTTGTAAAAATGAATGCAGTTAGGCAGCGGAAAGATCAGTAGATTAATAGTTGTGAGCTTGTCCTTTGGGGTTATACAGCATCCAAAGAGCTGTAATTATTTTAACACTAAGAAAGCAAAGTCACTTTATAACAATACTGACAGAGTTCAAGGATTTTTTTTCATGGCTGGCATTTATAAAATGTTGCCCAACAAGCTAACTATTAACTGAAGAAAACCTTAATCCCTGGCAAGGGAACCTACAACACAGTCTTGTGTACATGATGCACAACAGCAAAGATAAACACTTACCTCCTCCATTTTTGTAACAAAGGTATGGAAACCTCCAGACATTTCCTAGGCCAACAATGTGTCCAGCCACTGCCAGGATGAACTCCACCTTACTGGCCCACTGGCCTCTCTCCAGAGGTTTGGGCTGAGTTTGTTCTGGTCTGGCCCCAAGGTTCATCAGATTCATTTTCACCTGTGAGTTTAGTTTTTGGTCCATTTCAACCTTTAGTAAGAATTAAAAGAGTGTATATGTGTAAGTGTGTAATACAGTAGAGGACATGAAGCTGCTGTTAGGCCATATTAGGTACTGTACACAGGGAAACATGTTGATTTCTCTTCAATATTCTCATGTTTCCATCCACATGAATTATTTCTGAAAGTCATACCACACAGGCCAGACTAAATACTAGAACTGAACAGGCTCAAAGATATACACCACATTTGCCATCTCAAATCAGTTATGAAAACATTATGAAACAGTATAGCGTATATAGCGATGCCAGCGGCTAGCAGTCCCCATGCTAACATGCTCACTATGAGAATGCAAAGCTGCTGTTGTTTTGCAGGCATAATGTTGCATGTTCACCATGTTAGTTTAACGTGTTAGTATGCTATCATTTGCTAGTTAGCACCAAAGTAGTCTATACAGATGAAGCTGATGGAAATGTCATTAGCTTTTCAAGTATTTAGTCATAAATCAAAGTGGTGGACAAACTCAAATTTTGACCTGATGATGGTGCCAGATGAAAAGTCAGTAGACCATGTGAGATGTTACAGTTTATACTAAGGGGGGCGTGAATGCTTGTTGAAAATTTCTTGGCAACTCTTTGAAACAAAAGTCAACCTCATGTCGGTGCTACAGGAAAGGTCAGTGAGTCACCAAAATCATGAGGATTCATTGTAAGTTTTTTTTTTTGTTTTTGAGCTACTGCTAATAATAATGTTAAATGTTAGCTAATAATGTTTAAAAAAATAACTATGATCCGCACATTTTCTAACAATTGATATCCCCACCAAGTTTTATGTTTTGTTTTAACTGATATTGTTAAATATATTCCTGTTTAATTTCAGTGTAAGACTCTGACAACACTATGACCGCAGCCTTGATTTACCTGGGTACACAAAGATGAATATTATGAAGTAAAATATCTTTCAATTGTAGCATCTAAGTCTGAGTGAATAAACTGGACCATGACATGAAGTAAGAAGTGGTAGATAAATGTAGTTGTAAATTCATTTTTAATGGTTTAATGGTTTAATATGCCCTTGCATAAATCATTTCGTAAATTTCACATTTCTAGATGCAGTAAAAAAAAAAAGAGAGATTTAACTGTAGGCCTAAAAATAACCAACTCAAAGATTTCCATAGAGCAAAACCTAATTTGAAGTTAGATGGCAAATGTGAAAGATGCAGACTTTACCTTGAGCTGTTTCCTCCTCTGACTGACAACACCAGCCCCAATACAAGAATACGTTGAGTTAAGGTTTCTGTGAGGAGTGGCCACTGAAACTAACACAACCAGTCTTTTCTTTAGAACCAGTAGAAACCCATAGAACAGGGCAGTCACACACACACACACACACACAGCACACACGACCACCACACTAAAGCACGACACTCTGCACACAACACACACACAGACACACACACACACAGCACACACACCCGCAACGCACACGCACGCACACGCACACACAAACAGTTTGGTGTCAATTGTCCCCTTCTTACAGGAGGCGCACAGCGACGCCAAGGCAAACGAACGTCGCTCTTAATTTTAGTGTGATAAAATTGGTGTGGTTCGCGCATCTTGAGGCAGCGGAAAACTTCGCCTTAACTCAATAGTGCAGTCACTGTCACGGTATTTTCTATTATTTTGTCCATCCCATTTGTATCAATGAGTGTAGGCTATATAACAAAAACACGTAATACAGCTCAACAGCGCTACACATTACATCCACAAACTACATCCTCAAAAATGATCAGTTGAATAAACAACTGTCAATTGTATTTCATTTTATTACAAACTGAACATTATAACCTTCACGAAGGTGGATTTATCACAGGACTGTCTTATTAGACTACACCAGTTTTATCTAGATGTTCCTAAAAAACCGACAACTGAGTATATAGTACTATAGTACTACTGCAAAGAGCCTGACTGGAATTAATTGGTTGATTTTTTTGTGCTGTTCTCACCTGATAACTGATTCACCTGGTGAACTAAAGACGCTCTTTCATTTAATAGTTGTATCATATATTATCATTATCGCCAAATAACATGTTTCATCCCTCCCCTTTTAAAATGTAAGAAGTTTACTAAGAGACATTTTACTGACTTACTTAATACTTTTATCTGAGAACATTTTTGCACAGTGATTTTACTTCTACTGTAGTAAAATGTCTTTTCAGTAACAGTAGTTTGGAGTAGTTGGCCATTGACGAGCTGACAGTGGTAGTGTCTCATCTCCAGTCAGTTTCTGTTACTGGTATAGCGTTTATTGCTGATCCCTCTGATCACAGTTGATGTTGGTGTTTTCTTCGTCACAGCGAGTAACTACCTGCTGTACATTTAAACTTACACTTGTTCTGCTCCAGCACTCAGAGCTCTCTGCTCCTTTTAGCGACTGTCTCTAATTCAGTGGTTGTTTACATGCTAGTTACTTTAGCTTAGCAGTTAGCACTAGCTTCTCTCTCTCGTTCTCTTTCTCGCTCTCTCTCGCTCGGAGTATCTTGAACCAAAAGATGAACTTGTTCATCCGAGTGTGGTGTTGTTGTAACTTCAGTGTAGAGGACCGTAATGTTTGTTACAGCTTCAGTGATGTCTGCTGTCTTACCTTCGTGACACCGGAGCCTCTCTAGTGTGTGACCGTCTGTGTACACAGCAGCCTTCAGTGTCATAGGCACATGTTTGTTGAGTTTACTGTCCAATCTCCCGAAAAGTTTTTTACAAAAAAAAAAAAATTGCCCAGATCCTGAAATGGAGAGGGCTGAGGAGTACCGGCAGCTAAGGAAGAAAAAGCAAGGTATACCAAAGAGTAACACTAAGAAGTTCTGGTACTGTGTACCGGTGCATACCGGCCCACTTCAGGCACTAGGGATAAGTCAAGAGCAACATGACAATACAGCCCTCAGACGGTCGGAGCATTCTCTGTGACATGCGTCATGAATGTCTCTTGGACATAAATGATACTCTGCAGAGTAGTGTTCTTTCTTACTACCTGGTGAAACTGCCTCAGTGTTTCCCATTCACCGTCTAGACGGAAATTGTCCCACCACAGTCTGTTAATGAACCAACATTTATTTACGCGTCTCACAATACACCAAAAAAAAGATGTCGTGTAATTTCCAAATCATAGAAAACTTGGTAAACTAGCAAACCACACCAAACCCTCAGCCAAAAACCTTGGAGTAATTATTGATCAGGATCTGTGTTTTATGCCCCAGGTGAAGAAAGTTGTCAAATCATGTTTCTATCATTTGAGGAACATAGCCAAGGTCAAGTCACTAGTTTCTGCCACAGACCTAGAGAAACTTATCCACGCTTTTATTTCCCCCCGCCTTGACTACTGCAACTCTTTCTACACCTGTCTCACCAACAGTTAGTTCAGAACGCTGCAGCTCTGCTACTAACCCGGTCCAAAAAACGTGCCCACATCACTCCGGTCCTTGCATTCCTTCACTGGCTGCCCCTTTATTTTAGGATTAATTTTAAAATTCTTTAAATTCCAGGACACAGTCTGAGATCCTCTGGTAGTTCGCTGCTGGCCATTCCAAGGTCTAGATAAAAAACCAAAGGAGACAGGGCCTTTGCCGTCAGGGACCCTACACTTTGGAATAAGCTACCAGAGGAGATCAGTCTTGCAGAGTCAGTTCCCCGTTTTACCTCACTTCTTAAAACACACTTATAAAAATGCTTGTATTGTGTGATGAGTGATATTGGGTAATTTCATTTGCATTTCACTTTGATTTATTTTGATGTTTTTATTTGATTCATGTGAAGCACTTTGTTATTTGTATTGAAAAGTGCTATACAAATAAACTATTATTATTATTATTATTATTATTAAATTATTTATGCTCAAAAACACACCCATGATTAATTTAAAGACTAAGTGAAACGCTTTTGAACCATGAAGTAGCAAAAGTGTATATGGACACGCCCTAAATGTACTTACATGCACTTTAGACTGTTAAAATAGAGATCAATGTCTGTTTTGTCTGTTTGCCAAGATAAAACAGATAACCACTGTTGGGGGGTGGGGGGTCTCCTTTATCGTGGGGCTACAGGCTTTTATGTAAGTTTCTTTTCTCTCTTGTTCTGTAAAATACAGGCGAAGAAGCTGGATCAAATCAAAAAGCTCCATCAGTGCTGTAGTTAGTTTTTCATCAATCAATCTGTTTTATTTTTGAGCTGCGTTGTGCAGCAATGTTGTGTTTATGTTAATGCTTAAGTAATTTCAGAAACTTCTGCTTAAAGCTAGAACTTATCACAACTTATAACTTATCACATTACATAACAAGGAACAAAATCATCTGATCACAGGATACAGGATATTACAGTCTCATTGTTCTCCAGGGAAATTAAAACCAGAAAGGAGTCATTTCTATTTGGTGCCATGATGTATTATACAATCATTATGTAAATACATATACAGGCTACATAAGAATAAATATGAGTAAAATAAGATGAGACTATTTCACTGAGATATCTTTTGAATGAGCTTAATAGTTACTGAAAGAAGTGTAACTTTTTACAATAAAAGACTTAAAAGGCAGAGTTTTTAGACAATAAAATGTACAAACAGGTTTTATTCCAATTAACTCCTCCAACTCAATTTGCAAGAAATGTTCATTTTTAACTATAAATGTTTTCAGACATTTTTCTTCAACATAATGTAAGAGATCATGTCTGACCATAAGTTTCACAAACGTAAAGTAATCTAAACTCTGTGGTGTGGAGTTTTGATTGTTCTGATAACACACTGTAGCGTTATATGGCGTTTCCCTGGTCTTAAAGCATTATTTTCATCAAACTGTCTGAAAACAATGAGTACTATGTTTACTCATTGTGCACAGTAGTATCCTTATAATAAGCCATCCTGTTTTGGATCATATTCAGGATATGATTGTCTAAACACCAGAGATGCTCACAAGTCACTGATTGTGACAGCATTCTCCAATCTGCTTAGAACACTGCATTGCCATATCTAAGGAAT